AACAAAGGGTGATCAAGTCATTAAAAGGAGTGAACCTTTTGAATATCTAGAGCCTATTATTTAAAGTGATGGTGATATAGATGGGGATGGTATTAGTAGAATTTAAGTTGGACGGTTGAAGTGGAGGAATGCAATGGGCCTCTTGTGTGATAGAAAAGTACCGCTTAAATTTAAAGAAAAATTTTATAAGATGGTTGTGAAACCTGCAACGTTTTATGGAGCAGAATATTGGCCTGTGAAAGAGAAGCAAAATTAGGTGTTGTTGAGGAAAGAACGCGTAGGTGGATGAGTGGTTTTACACTTAAGAGACAAAATGTGAAACGAATATATCCGTGAAAATGTTGGATTAGCTCTAGTGGTAGACAAGATTAGAGAGAGCCACCTTAGAAAGTTTGTTCATATTAAACGTCGATCATCTGATGACCCAATTAAGAGAGTAGGATTTTTAGATTTGACTTATGTTAAGAAAGGTAGAGGTAGATCTAAAAATATTGGTCATGTTGTATAAAAATGATCTTAATTTATTAGAACTAAATGAAAATATGACAATCAATAGGACATAATGGAGAAAAAGGATGCATGTAGCCGGCCCCAGTTAATGAAATAAAGTTGTTGTTGTTGTTGTATTTGGGTCAAGTAGTGTATAAACTCTTGATTAAGTCTCATTGGACTGCCACATATTAGTAGAAGAGTGGAGTGTGGAGGAAAGAAATTTCGCAATACTTCTATTGAAACTTTGTGTGCACGAGCCCCCATATACAAATAATGTTTTAAAAACGCAGGCATAAAGCAAAGCATTTGACCCCAATGTAGAATGAAGAGTAGATTCAGAGTGTAAAGTGTAAGCTTCATCATTTTAATTTTATAAATTTAAAAAATATTCAAATATACTATGATAATATAAATATAAGAAATATGAAAAATAAGATTTTTTTTTCTTACTTAAAAAAGTAAATTTTTATCAATTTCAATTAGTATCTTTAATTTAACACATTGAAACATGATCAGAATAACAAGAAGTTAATTATCAAATAAATATTAATTTAGAGATATAATTTAGAGATAATATAAGTATAGTAAATAAATATTATGGAAAATGCTTGAAATGAACTTAGATTGCAAATAAGAATGCATGATGAAAAGATAAAATTAAAATCATCAAATTATAGATGTGGTTCATTATTCAATTGAAAGAAACTAACTAAAAAAAGCAGTTGCATTTGGAATCAATGGGGAATAGAATACGGTAAATAATCCACAAAAAAAGCAACAAATGGGGGTTAATGCATAAGATTGATGGGAAAAGAGGGTGTAGATAAGAGGAGATGAAAGACAATATATTACAAAAGAAATGATAATGTTGAAATGGAATGAAGTTTTTTTTGTCTAGGAGATAGATAAGAAGTTTTCTGATAGTTTTATTTCCCTTCCCTTCTTCTTGAGTAGAATAAAATATCAAATTAGGTCGTCAAAATTCAAATAAAAATAATAATAATAATAATAATAATAATAGAATTAGGTCGTCAAAATTCAAATAATAATAATAATAATAATAATAAAGCTTAACTTTCCATGTTATAGAGGCATCATGAAGTGTACACTTCACAATAGAAAGCGTAAGTTTCATACCACGAACGCTTTGTGCCCAAACTGCATAGCATTTTTTGACCACTTTGCTTATAAATGTGCTTTTTGCACTTCAAAATTTTCCTTTTTTAAACACTATACATGAGCACCAAGAACTAAATTATCACTTGAAATCCCTCTAAAAATCGTATAACATTATGCATGCTATAAATAGTGATATCAAAAAAAGTTAACATTTATGAAAAAGCCCAAGAAAATAAAAAAAATAGAAGTCAAAATACTAAGTATCCCACTTACCCAAGAACATGCTAAACTGCTAATCCTATCCCTCATATCTCCACCAAATTTAACCCATAGTTTGCACCTAGTGATGGAACTAATGTTTCCTACAACGTTAGTGTTGCATTGGTGCAACCTGCCACATGTAAAAGACAGCAAAAGCCTCATGGATAGTTAAAATTGTATTTCTCAAACAAGAAAGGGTCCTAAGAGACTCATATATTATGCCCCTCCTATTTAAGATCAATCAAGCCCTTGGCAATGCTAGATAATGTTTTAGCAATAGCACCCTTCTTTTTTAAGGTAACCAATGAAAGAAGTGTGACACTAATTAGATAGGAAGATATTTTTCATTATGATAAAATAAATTACATAAGAAAAGCGGAAATTCACTCACCCAAAACTATGAAGACTAGCTCAGCTTAACAATCAGTGAACCACTCAACCATTACATTGGTAAATGACTTCCCCAAATAAAAGGAATCTCTTATTCTCTCGTCCTTAAATCTCTCTCTAAAACTCCTTCATGCCTGATCCGTATATAGAATCAACTATGGACTATTTAGACCAACTCAATGAGCTGCACGGATAATGGATGATTGGAAAGTACAATTAATATGGTAGTTGGTAGATACTAAGCACTTGTTAGGAAACACAATTAATGTCAATGCAACACCCCATGTTTTTGCCCTAACTTTTATCTTATTATTTATGTGAATGTTGGCTTATCAAATGCTTGGCCATGTAGCTTCTAACATATACCAAGTAGCTATGCCTTTGATTTAGTTT